ATTGAGGTCCATGCCAATCAGACGTCTCCATATCCACACCTCCTCCATCATACTGTATCTCCGTAATCCTTGTAGGCTCCAAACGCGCTGGGTGTACTGGACAACCGTTCCACGACGTAGGTCTGAACAACGCTGCCCTCGAGGCCACATGATGCCGTACCAGTACTCCGGACGCCTCCCGAAATTCCCACCAATCTTCCTTAGGCTCCGAGTCCTTGCCTTTCTTCAACTTGTGTAGTCCAGCCATTGCTTCCCCGGGGGGCTCCACCACCTCTGCTTGTACTCGACGTAGTTCTTCAAGCTCCTCTGGAAGTAGTTCCGCGTCTACTCCTTCGTCTGGCGAATACTCATCTCCCTCCGGTACTTCTGGCTGCGCCACCTTCACGTCCAAGTTCCATCCCACCAACTCCTCTTCAGGCGTAGGTTGGTCCTCCGGTGCCAAATGTTGTTTGGGAAACTGGTAGGTGAACACAATAGCATGCCGTTCTCCCTTTGGTCCTGGTACTCGTACTGGTCCAAGCACATCTGCACTCAAAACATAACAGTCGCGATGCAGACATTTCCGATGAGGCCTCCCCGTTGCATTGTGAATACACTGAAGGCAATCAGGGCGATAAGGCACGTGGTCGTTGGCTAAATGCCTTTCCCAGCTCCTCCTGTCCACCGCCTTCAATGCTCTCAACAGCCTCGGGTACCATCCTGGTCTTTGCTTCCACCTCTTAATGCCTTGAACGAGGGTTCGACTCATCATTGGCGCCCATGCAGCCCATTGCAAAGCGCGTTCCGGTGGGTCCTTTCTCTGATCCGTAACACCCCGGAGCTCGGACACGTCCATATTTGTAGCCATTGTTGTAGGTCTCCTTGCAGCGTGTCCAAGACCGCCTTGCTCAAAATGATGCACCATTAGAGGCTGCTCCTCTATCCATCGCCGAAACCATTGACTCCTCCACACGCCTGCTGCCTCATCCTCCTCAGCCTCCGACGACGCCCACAGCGATACAGCCACACCATCCATAGGCACGTCCACGGCTTCGCACATAGCCGCTCGTCCCGCTTTTGCTACCTCCACCAAAACCACTGAGCGCAAAAGAAGATCCTCGGTATTGGTCTTTGGCAAGCCTCCAACCACTGCCGCGACACGGCCCGTAACCGAGCCCCAAAGCAACAGCTTCATAATTCCATCGCCCTGACTCCTCAGGTCGAGCGTGCTCAGGCGCTGAACATCAATATCCAACACCAACGATCCGCTGCTTTCCACCGCCTTGAAGGTCTTGTCCATAGGCGACCGTGGCCCGCTGAACAGCTTGACGATCCAATCCTTGTGAACCAACCGCTTCCGCATCCTTCTGTTGAAACCCAACTCGTACATTAGCTTCCATGCCTCGTCGTTCGTCTTGGGGAGGTCCATGATCACCTTGACGAGAGCTTCCCGAGGCACGTCCCTTGCCCAGGGCGCAGAAACCATTGAGCGGAAGCCGTCTTCGAATACACCATGCTGCACATACTGCTTCAGGCTTTTTTCCCATTGTTCGTCACCTTGTATCATGCAAGCCCGCAACATAGCGATCCGCGTAGTCTCCACCTGTTGTTGTAGCCGGTTCACATTCTCTTGCTCTATTTCGGCAATAACTGGTAATGCCTTGGCTTCATCCAGCTCTGGACATCCAGACGCCACTCTCAAAGGGATTTCCTTCCCATCCGGCGCTCGAAGCAGGCACCGTTTGCGGTTCCAACGAAGTTCATACCCCAGCACACTCACAAGGCTGCCCACTGGTAAAATAGTTTGCGTCGAAGACGTAGAAGGCCTGGGATTTGTGAGCAAAGTACCGGCACCTGTTTGCTTCATGCGTGCTGTACTGTCCCCCGCCACTATAACATCAACTTCCGGTGACTCCACCCACTCACTCTCAGTAGCCCTCCTCAACGGGTGTGTTGCCCCCGAATCCACCAAGGCCATCTTCCGCTCGTAGTCCGCCACCACCGTTTTGAGCATCTTCATCGTTGGATTAGTTGCTCCCAACCCAGCTTGTTGGTCCGTCATAAGCTTCAGAACCTGCGTAGCGTTCTTGAGGAAGTCGTCCATCTCCTTCGCCGCCATTGGTGTCGTAGACGTTGAACCTCCTCCACCTCCTTGATTGGAGTCCATAGATCCTCCCAGTGACGAAGACGCCGGAGTGGAAGATGTGGTGCTGCCGGGCATGGTCCCATCATCTCTCTTTCCATCTCCTCCTTTCTGGCCTCCGGCGGTAGCACTCCTCACCTTAGGTGGCTGGCCTCCTTTTCCTTCATCACCCCGTCGAGGTCCATCCGCATTCCCATCCTTGACCGGACAGTTTCGCTTCATATGCCCTTTTCCTCCACATGCTTTACAGCGCTCCATTCTCTCCTCCTTTGGTATCGCCATCCAATCATGGGCGTACTTGCAGTTGGTGCGCTTGCAACCCGTCTCCGAGAGGAAGAACTTGCACGGTTTGCCCGCCGGCTGTTGCGGACTCGTACCACCCTTTGGGGTTCCTCCTCCATCTTGGTTCGTCGCCGCCACATTCTTCACGGTTGGTGTGACACCGCTGGTCCCTTTTCCTCTTCCTCTGTAAGCCAACTGCTCAAACTCCCCAAGCAAGTGGCTGTGAAATCGGGACACCGTTGACAAAGTCGGGGCTGTATCTAGGTCCAGACTGAAGCGAAGCATATTTGTCCTGAAGTTGATCTCGTAGTTCTGGGCCAACTGTCCTTTCACTGCAGCGTCCAAGCCTCGTA